CTCCTATCCCAGGAAAGATTGAGAAAACAAGAATGGAAGAATTAAGATTTTCATAGATGTAGCTTTTCAGCACACACTTAGGCTGTATGGCATTTATGAAGACTAACTGTAAAAAATATTATCCAAAAAGAGACGGAGCACAGTTTTTTACTTTAATTTTTCTATCTTTGATCATAACTAAGTACAATTGTGAGCTGACCCATTCCAGGGCCATTTCTGAACTACTTTCATAATACCTTGTTTAACTCTTTATTATAGTATTCATCACACAATAAAACATTATTTTACTTTCCCATAAACATTGGTAGCAGTAACTCATCTATGTGTTCATTTTGGACATTTGTTCAGTTCTTCCCCTCCCTCTTCCTGTCCCCTACTAACACACTGTCTATCATAGAAAAAAAAAAGCCCAATAAATGTTTGATGAATGGATGAATAGTGAATAAGTGAATGACTGATGACATATATGGAAAAGGGTTATAGGAAATGAATTATTCAAACTGTCCTTTAATCAGTTATTAGGTGCTGCTATTTTATGTATCACCCCTAAAAGCTGAATACCAACTGATATTTCTAGAAGAGAAGTAGAGAAAAATCATGTTCCTGTTTATACTTCATTGCCAAACTTTAGAAAGGATAGCATTCTTACTATAATCAATAGTTAAGAAAATTACTTAAATTTTACATCTGAATATCATAAAGCTTTTATTTCTTGGGTGGGACCCAAATTCACTATACACTGTTCATTAATGAAATTATAAAAAAAGAGCATACTCTATATGTTTTTTCCCATTCTGTAGTAGTTATCAGCTAAATATTTTCATTTGCATGGGAATGCAGAAAATAATTATAAAGGGATTAATGGGAAGTCATGAACTATTTTTAAGTACCATTCTCACACATTGAGTCTATTTTCCCTGAGAATATTATTAGTAACTTTCAAATTGCTCATAAAACTGTATGTTTCCACTTAAAAGTCCATTAGAATACCTAATGGCTATACCACTCAAGCAAATTTACCATCTGCCATGATAAATGTGCTATTACTTGAATGTATGGATTCTAGGGACATCTGTGTAGAATCACATTCCTCTGTGGTATTATCAACTTCAGCTTCCAGAACCTTCCTTTCTTACTCATCAGTGCTAACTATAATCTAAGGAAATGAAGGACCATTTGTTTCATTCAGTTTAAAAGCAGTATTTCTAAATCCATGGGAAAATCTGGCTGTTTTCATCACAAGAGATTCTAGATGTTTTACAAATTATCCCGAGTCCTGAGGCCCTGGTGAGATGCATTCTCTTTATTCATTTTCCACCATCATCTAGGAATCTTGTATCCCAGTAAAACAAACACTTTAAAACATACAGTTGGAGATGGGATTATTTTAGAACTATTTGATGTGTCCTGCCCCACCACACACCATGAAGGAGTGAGTTCTTTAAACTAAGAAAGAGTCTATATTATTCAAAGCCTCCAATTAAGATCCAAACAAATAAATATTTAGTGGATCTGGATCAGATGATACATGGACTCTGGTTGGCTTCCACCAAGTAACGAGCAAAGAGGCGTTGCAGTTGCCACATTCAATGCCTGCATTAGTTGGCTTTAATCAGTTTTTTAGGTCTTTACGGGAATGGTGTGGCAGGGAACTCCTCTGCCATTCTCCAGACCTTCATTCTCTCTCTCCCTCCCCCCGCCTCTGCCCCCACTCTCTCCTTCCCTCTCCCACTATTGCTTTGAATACAGTTTTTCTCTGATGATTATCTCATAAACCAGTTTAAAATAATGTGTCTGTTAGGATGGCTACCATCCATCCAGATTTCCTTCTCTCCTATTCCCCGTTTTTACTGCTCCATCTGCCCTTGGTCCTCATGGGACTTATCACTAGGCCGTAAAGGCATCCTAATCCTGGAATAAGAAGGAAGAAGTTACCCTCTATCACAGGTCCTAGTATATTCCCATTCAAATCAATACTAAATATGATAAAAAAAAAACTCCATTTCTAGTGATAAATCCTGGAAGCGGGGTGCTCTCCTCTAGCTTTATGACAACAAATTGAAATAAAGAGCTGAATGCAAATTGTAAAGATCTGTAATTTCTGCTGAAGAAATGTCTCCTATTTTCCTATGCAAACCCAACTCCCCCTTAATTCCACTACCCCCTTAAGATTATGTTAATACTCAAGTTGTGGAAAATAAAAGAACTGTGGTAGAAAAGGAAAAGAAGGCAAAAGAGAAGATGGGAGAGAAAACTTGTAAAGATCAATAAAAATAATTGTGGTTTCTATGGAGAACAGCATGGAGATTTCTGAAAAAAATTCAAAATAGAGCTACCATATGATCTAGCAATTCCACTTCTGGGAAATTATCTAAAGAACACAAAAGCATTAATTTGAAAAGACATATGCACCCTCATTTTTATTGCAGCATTAATTACAACAGGCAAGATGTGGAAACAACCTAAGTATCTACTGACAGATGAATGAATAAAGAAGGTGTAGTGCATATACACAAAGGAATATTATTCAGCCATGAAAAAGAATAAAATCTTGCCATTTGCAACAACATGGATGGGTCTTGAGGGCATTATGCTAAGTGAAATAAGTCAGAAAGAAAGACAAATACTGTATAATTTCACTTATATATGGAATCTAAAAGCATAAAAAAAAAAAACCCCACAAGTTCATAAACACAGGGAATTAATTGACGTTTGCCAGAGGCAGGACTAGGGGGTGAGGTGAAAGAGATGGTTGTAGGGGGTCAAAGGGTTCAAACTTCCAGTTATAAAACAAATGAGTCACAAAAGTAATGTACAGCAAGGTTAAAATAGGAAAGAAAGTAGACCTTAAGAGTTCTCATCACAAGAGAAAAAATGTTTAACTATGTAAGGTAAGAGATATTAACTAAACCTATTATGGTGGTTATTTCACAATGTATACAAATATCAAATCATTTTGTTGTATACCTGAAACTAATATAATGTTATATTCAATTATACCTCAATAAAAATTAAAAATTAAAAATTAATTGTGAATAATAAAATGTTTAAATAACTAAGAAATATTAAAAATAAAGGCACTGGAAAAAGCAAAACACATTATAAGACCAGAGAATTAAATTGGAAGATGAAATACAAATGAAAGTGCAGTATATATTTTTTTTAAATTCTGAGAATTAGAGAATGAAAATTAAAATCCATACATAATATATACTGTCACTTACAACTCACAGGTCTCATTAAATAAATTTTTTTCTATTTTTTTATGAATTCGGATGCCATTCTTTGAAAGTTTTTTCAAGAACTTTGGTAAATTTTTTTCTTTACCCAATTTCTTTTTTTTTTGTCTTCATTATTCTTTTTTCCTCTAATGATAAAAATTTCTACATGTCCAATACATTTAAGACAAGTCAATATATTCCTCTTTTATTGGGATAACTCTCCTGTTCATTTTATGCTTTACTTTTGTCTCTTCTTTACATATGTCAATTTCTTCTGCATTATTCAATCAAAGACATTTTAAATTGAAATTGACCTTGAGAAGGCATATGGTAGACACATATTCTCTAATATAAACTCCACTACCTGCTCTGCAATTCAAAATTGAACTGTCTACCAAATAAATTAGATATTTCAGAGCTACTTGGAACTTGGCAACAAGAGAAATCCTGGATTCTGGTAAAGTAGCAACAGCTGATTTAGCAAGCATGGAATGATTCTGCATCTGATCCCTGCCAGGTTGACAGAGGGTCTTGTTTACTGTCTCTTGCCTTGGTCCTTCTAAGTAGGTACTGTTTTGTGTTTATTTATCCCCTCGCTTTAGGCCCTGGAACAATGTTTAACATAGTGTCACTGGCCCTGGTGCCAGACAGGATCAGGGGCTCTGGAATATTTACAGTTTCCTTTCTTCTGCTTCCATAAATGAAACGGGCAGTATGAATGAAGGTAATCAAGGGCCAGCTGGCTAAAAACACAACTGGCAACAAAGCACTTGGGCTCCTTCCAAGAGCCGGTGTTTAAAGAGAGGCCATTTAAAGAGCAAATTCCAACTCCCATAATTACGGTGCAGGACACTAGCTGTAGGATAAAAACAGTCACATTTTATTCAGAAAGATTTCTGTTCCCAAAAGTTAGAATCTATTATTTGCCCCTAGTCAAGAAATTTTCTAGTCTTAGTGTCAATCCCTTAAAAATAGCCAATCCCTTATATTCTCATGAATGGCAAACATGTATACTTTGAGTATATTAAATAAATTCTGCGCCATGTTGTCCAAAGTGTTATTTTTTTGCTTGAGCTCCTTCATACAAAAAAATTAAATTATTAAGAAATTGAGAAGGAAACAGAATAAATAAGAGATTTCATGAGAACTTAGATGGGACACCATGGCAGACAGCCAAAGACACAAACTAATTTAGGAGGTTATTAATATATCATGAGGCCAACTGACAAAAAAAAGGCAGATTTCCTTTGTTAAATAAAATATTACCCCTATTTTGATATTTTTTTAAATGCAATAATCTTGGCCGGGGGTGGGGGAGGAACCATGTTGGAGCCTAGAAATCTAGTAGACAAACGACAAGTTTTTTTCTTGTTTGTTTTGATAATGACCACTATGGACTGGCCATTTATTAACTCTAGAATCTCTGCTAGGTGCCGAGTCAGAAATGTATGTGATACCATATTCAGAGAGATAAATTTAAAATCTAAATAATTCTACACATTATGGAATCATAATTACTGCACAGTCTGGGAGCAGATGAGTTTGAAGATGAGTAAACAAAGCTACCCCTTTTGATAGATGATAGATAGGTAGATAGATAGGTAGATAGATAGATAGATGCATAAATAATTGGCACTAGAAATGAAGGAGGGACCCAGAGTAAAAGTGAAGGGATTTAAAGGGGTTCAGTAGCCATAGGTGTGTGGAGCAGCAGCCCTGATGCTACAAATCTCGGAAATGGGTAAAGCTAGTAGCTTGAGACCCCCTGGAAGGCATTACCTCGATGTAGGGCACAATCTTGCAGGAGAAGTCCTCCAGTAGCCACTTCTTCGTCAGCTCGTGAAAGATGACGAGTGGAAGGCAAAAGAAGATGATGAGAAAGTCCCAGAAGGCCAGGTTGGCCAAGAGGGAGTTGGAGATGCTCCGCATGTAGTAGTTATGACACACTATGCACATCACCGCCAGGTTGCCAATGATGCCAGTTCCAAAGATCACCACCGACAAACACATGACCGCATAGGCTCCGTAAGACTCCTGGGTCAGCGGGTAGAAGGGGTTCTTCAGTCGCAAGCGCCTGTTCGTGCTGTTTCCCCGGCGGGGATCCCCGCGTTCATTGACCCCTTCATCCGAGGACCCATTGTGGGCCAGCGCCCTGCCGGGGGGTGCAATCATCCGCCCTTCGTGTCTCGAAGGTCCACCGACCGTCTTGGGTGGGGAGTCGTGGGGGGAACCCTGGTGTTTCCCAGTTCTCCTTGGCCAGTAATAAAGGTCGCTGGCTCCGGGTTCCGTCTTCACACTCGGCTCTTGGCTGCGCCCGGAAATGCCAGCGCCTCTCGGACCCTTCTCCTTTTCCTCTAAGGTCTGAAGGAAGAGTTGGAGAGCCGTGGGGTCCCCTCTCCCCAAAGTTCCAGGGGGCTCCTGGTCCCAGGCACGTTTCCACCTCCAGGCGCCAGGTGGCCTGGCTGGAGGTCCCGAGGGCTCCGCGGCCGACGCCTCCGCCCCTCTGCCAGCACCAGGGTCACCGCCCCGGGCCGCGAGTAGGTCCCACGAGGGCGCCGCACGTACCGCTGCTTCCTGCTCCCCCTCCCTGGGCTCACGCGTTAGCAGGTCTCCTGCAGAATTATCCGGTCCCCAAGCGTCCCTGCTGCGAAGCTGGTTCAGTGTAGATGAACAGCTTTCCCCCAGACAAGTTTTGTTTCTGAGCGCAGGGGCGGACCCGAGGGCAGGAGAGGCAGACACCTTGAGCAGGAGCAGAAGCAGGAGCAGAAGCAGCAGCCGCGAGGTGCGGGCGAGAGGCGCGCCCGGGGCCCGCATGGCTCCGTGAGGGCGCACCCGGCAGCCGCGGCTCCTGCTTAGGACCGACACCTGCTGCCTAAGTTGCTGCCGAGAGTTAGACACATGTCACTTACCCCCGCCCTGGCAGCGGGGGACGGGAGATTACGGGGAGGTTGGGGGATGGGTCTTGGGGTCACAACCCTCCCGCTCTACCATCCATCCTCCTTTGGCGTCCTGTGCATTTCTCAGCCAAACCCAGCCCGAGCGCCGCGTATCCCCAAGGTTCAGAAAGAGGCTCTCCGTTCCCGATGGCTGACCTTGAAAAGTTGCGACCAACACCTGACTGTTGATTAATGTTGCGACTGGGAGAAGCCCGGACGAAGCCCCACGCTCCTCCCTGCCTTTGGGTGATTGCCTTCTTGGTAACGGTTGCCCTGCCTATTTACATCCTTCCGTTACCGCTCTATCCAGTAGCGAGCCGAGGTGAACTAAGGGGAAAGAAGTTCCCCTCCTGGTGACTTAAGTAGCTGCAAGCCCGTGCCTGGATCGCTGGAAACAGGTTGCAAAACAGCCAGATGCAGCGCAGATGCGCCCAGAAAACTCTTGCCCCTCTAAACCCAGCGACTTGCGAGGCTACTGTTGAGGAGGAGAAGCGGGGTTCGAAGCCCGCAGCTACTGTCAAAGTTGCTTCTGCTCGAAGTGGACAGGGGGCGGCGTGGGCTGCTGGGCGGAGTGTCCCGGCCAAGCAGAAATCGGTGGTGGGGGTGGGGAGGACGGGCACTGCTCCTCCGTGGACGGTGCGGGCAGCCACAGGAGCTCGTTGTTGCTACAGCGGGCGCAGCCCGGGCGGAGAGTGTGGTGCCTGGAACCGCCGCGGGCGAGGCGGTGCGTGGCCGGGAAGGGGGAGGTGGCCTGGCCTCTCCCCGCCGCTCCAGCCGCTGCGCGCGCCGGCGACACCGAGCGCTCAGCTCCCTGCCTTCTCCCCCTCCTCTTCCTCCTCCGACAGATGCTGGTTTGTGGGGCCACTGGATCCCCTAGTGGTTTACGACTCAATAATCCCACACACGTCTCGTTCAAGGCCTTTGTAGCGGCTTTCACCCCTAGGAGCTGGAAGCAATAAGAGAAATAGGGCGGAGGCGCGGATCCTGCGCTGCTCGAGGCTAGGGATGGGCGGGACACCTTAATTCCCCAGATGTCGGAACCTGCCAGACCGGTCCGGGAGTCTGAGGGAGGAGGAGAAATCGAGTTGATCGCTACCTATCCGCCGCGGCCAGTGCGCATGCTCAGCCCTCGGCCCGAGCTGTAGCAAAGTGAGGCGCTTACCTCCTTAGGTGCTCCAGAAGAGAGAGGAAGCTCGGGGTTTCAGTCACAGAGAATGAGCAATTTGGAAAGTGGGATGCAGAGTGAGAATGCTCAGCATCCACCATTACCTCTAAAGCTGAGTTAGGAAGCACCCTACCAGGGATTACTTAGAACCTTTCAAAGCACAATGAAAGTAGTTTTGTTTGATGAAGTAGTGGGAAATAATAGATATGGAAAAATTACCTTGAACAAAACTCTCAGCGTGGCTGACTATGACTTTCCAGACTTTATAATAAACCCCACGCTCCTGCCATAGCTGTCAGGGGGTAGTCATTAAAGTAGACAGATATACAAACTGGTTAAGAGAGACAATGTGATAGTGGAAGAAATAAACACATTTTGAAATGGGAAAAAAAGGCAACATCTGGAGAGAGGATAAAATACAATGAAAATATGATCCCAATTGTGTTCGTAGAATAATGGCTCTCCAAAAGATGCCCATATTCTACTCGTGAAAATGGCAAAAGGGCCTTTGCAGATGTCGCTCTGTTAGAGATGGGAGAGTATCATGAACTCTCCAGGTGGGTCGTTGAAGGCACAGGGAAAGGCAGGAGGGTTAAACTAAACCAGAGCCATGAGCCAAGCAACGCTGGCCGTCTGTAGACATTGGAAAAGGCCCTGCTTGCTTGTTAGACTTCCGACCTCCAGAGCTATCAGATAGTAAGTTTGTGTTGTTTTAACCCACTAAGTTTGTGGTAATTCATTGCAGCACCAATAATAAACTAATATGCCAATTAATCTGAAGATGTAAACAAGATACATTTATGTAAAAATACAAATTACCAAAAATAGCTCAAGCGGGAATTTTTTAGAAACCTAAGTAGAACTACAACATTAAAGAAATCAAATCATTCATCGTGATCTACCCACAAGAAAGCACTAGGCCATAACAAATCCAAAGGAATAAATATACACTTGTACAAAATGTTTAATAGTTACTCAATTCATTTTATGAAGTCAGAATAACCTTAATATCAAAATCAGATAATGACAGAAAAAGAAAAAAAAGTAGGCTTATTCACTTATACAGTGTTATTCATTTATATATGCTAATTAATTATATCACATGCACTCGTTCAGTAAACAAATATTCTGCTCAAATTATGTAGGGTAGCTTAGTGAGCAAATAATGATCTGCTCTCACTGAATTTATATTTTCTTGGGGGACATAGGCAATAAACACTTAAACAAATAAATATATAATGACAGATGATGATCAGTGCTATGGAGAAAAAGAATGGAGAGTAAGGTAATACAGTAATTAATTGGGAAAGGCTGTCTCTTTTTAAAGATGGTAGTGAAAGCTCTTATGATAAGGTGGGGTTTTTTTAGTACTTACACACTTATATTCAATAATCCCAAAGAAAATCCTTACAAATCAAAACTAACACCACCTGTTGCTTTTTATTTTTAATATAGCACATAATAGAGCCTATCCCAGGAATGCTAGGATACCTTAACATGTAGAACATTTTAATAATAATTTAGGAAATTGAGATATTGAAGGACAAAAATATATCTGAACAGATGCAGGAGAAACATTTGGTTAAATTCAATCATCATTTATTTTTAAACCTGTTAGCACACTATAGCTAAAGAAGTTTCCTTAATATAATAAATGTTAATATAAAATGAAGCAAACAATGTCAAAATATTAAAAATATCAGAACACAACATGGACTATCTCTTCTATAAGCAGCACAGTACTAAAAGTACTTAACAATAAAATAAGACAAGAATAAGAACTGAATATAAAGAAAGAAAACTGGTGCCATTTGTAGTTGAGATAAACCTACATATAAAACCTAAAGAGAATTAAGCTTGTATAGCTACCAGTTGTATCTGATCAGCTATCAAGACTAATAGCTACAGAAATAAAAATAGCATGATGTTGGTGTAGGGGTGGCCAAATAGACCAATGAAATAGAACAGAAAAAAAGGAATTGCACATGAACTTATGTGGGAATTTAATGTAACAAAGGACCTGCCCTTACAAATGGTAGGAATGTTTGGACTAGAGCAAAAAGAATATGAAAATAGTACTGAAAAAATGGTACTGAAAAAGTTGACAATCCATATAGGGAAAAATTAAATTATATTTCCTTCTTCATACTTTGTATAAAAAATACATCAGATTAAAGACTTTTATATAAAGCCTAAGTATTTAAAAATCTGAGAAGAAATTTTAGGAAAATATTGACATCAGAGTAAGAACTACTTCATAAGTAAGACTCAAGAGGCAAAGGTATAAAAAAAATCATAAGCATGTCTACCTTAAAATTTTACATTTCAGAACAAATAAGGACAGCATCAGGAAACTTAAAATCAAGCCACAGTTTGGGAACAGATTGTGGGATCGAAGGAGTGAGATCCAATGCTCACTACTAGAGAGAAAAAGCCTGGTTCAGGTCAGTCTTTCAAAGATACAAAATAATGTTATGTTGCAGGTTTCCAGCTGCCTGCTGGGATAAAATAAGAACCCAGAGTACTTGCTTAGACCTGAGTTCTTGTTATATAAGTGATCATAACAAAATAGTATCATTTATATTAATTCATATGCACATTGATAAAATTCCTGAGGTGGCCTGCCAAGTGGGCCCCCGGCTGTGTTCCTGTTTGCTCTGGGACTTAGAGGAGCAGGTATTACGGACACACACACACACACACACACACACACACAGACACACACACAGACACACACACACACTGTCCTCTTGAGGTTCTTTACCAACATTTTATCATTTTCTCTCAAATAAACCACATTCCACAGAGACTTTGAAATTTACTTTGTGTCCTGCAACTCAAAAAAAAAAAAAAAAGGAGTGGCATCTAATATCTACAAAAACATTGAATAAATTGATAAGGACAAAAGAGACCACTTTGAAAAAATGGACAAAGGACAGGATCAGGAATTTCACAAAAGAGGAAATTCAAATGACCAAGAAAACTGTAGAAAGATGTTCAATCTCAAGAATTAGAGAACTAAAAATTACCATAATAATTCTGTGCCATTTCACCTCTATTAGACAGGCAAAAGTTAAAGAGAATGACAATAGCCAGCTGATAAAGAGGGTGGAAAGGAATGAGAGCTCTCATATACTGCTCTTGGAGGAAGGGAATTTGCCAATACCTAAAACATTGATAGTATTTATACCTTCTGAACTTGAAATATTATGCCTAAATATAAACTCTTAGGAGCTCTTGGATGTGGGCATAAGAAAATCTCTTTGAAACGCAATGAAAATGCATGCAATGAAAATACTTTTGATTTTAAGAATAAGAAGGATGCCCTGACTGGCGTGGCTCAGTGTGTTTGGCCTCCTGCAAACTGAAAGGTCGCCTGTTGGATTCGTGGTCAGGATGCATGCCCGGGTTACTGGCCAGGTCCCTGGTTGGTGGCATGCCTGTGACAGGCTACTGGTCGATGTTTCCCACATGGATGTTTCTCTTCCTCTCTTTCTCCCTCCCTTCCCTTCTCTTTAAAAATAAATAAAATCTTTTTTTTAAAGATGTAAGTTCTTTCCAAGTTAATTTGTAAATTTAATGCAATCCCAATAAAAATACCAACAAGCCATTTTAAAAAAGAATAAAAAGAATGGAAACAATGCAAATGTCAATCAATATAGAAATGGGAAAATTAATTATAGCATACTCATAAAAAGGACAAACTAGATTTA